TGCTTCGCTGACTGATATGATTGCTAGAGGCTTATAATATAAATATTTTTTCATGGCTGATCCCAAGACTACATCATAAGACCTACTAATAATGTCAGGCTAAAAGTGCTGAGTAATAAAGCATGAAGTATAGCTCATCAGCATTATCTCCAATGACAGAGCTCCTTTTCTCATCATAGACGTGTAAACACTCATTACTGGTGCTGTATCTGCAGGCTCTCTTGATGTCAATAAATTTATGGCACCTTAATATCAGCTAATTTTATTGCCTGACTGAAAAACCTGACTTGTGCATCTTGGCTTTGGTATTTTCGCCTCAAAGCAGCTCATGTTGGGTGTGAATCAGGCGAGCTTGTTGCTACATTAGCACTCTGTCGTGGACACCTGCACTGCTGTAAATAAAGAGCACCGGTCTGGTCACCCGATCCTTGCTTCAGTGCACCTCAGTGCCCTCTGGGCATGGCACCTGTCACTGCTACCGCATGGGCCAGGATGCTGGAGAACGACTCTGCGGTGACATTTTCAGCAGTTTGTAGGGGTTGACAAAGCCTGCCGCCAAAATTGGCCTGGATTCACCGATGACTCAATTCAGTACTGCACTCAATTGATCACATTTCAAAGCAGCTGCTGAACTGGATTGACACTAACTGGTACTTTTGTCACTCTTCTTACTTGCTGAGTGACACCTTGCTCAGGTACGGAGGTGACCCAGTGGGAAGTCCACAATTTCTTGGCGCAAGTCCAATGGCTGACAAGGAAAAGCCATGAACACTTATTTTTGGTATTCTTTATGTTGGCTGGCTGCTGCGAGTTTTATGAACAAATAACCTTCCAAAAACTACTGAAAATGCTTGTGTACCCTAGTAAGTGCTGCTAAAGCAAAACTGCAAAACAAAGCAACTGTACAGACTGATATGACATATTTCCACTTAGTTCACATTAGATTACCACTGTTTGCCACATGGGATATTTTTCAGTTATTAGTTTTGATGGACCATATGTCCTTTTAACTAATGCCCACTTACGCAGACATCTGATATTCATGAGCTTGTCATGTGACTAGGGCTCATCCTATGGGGTTCCCACAGATGAAATAAAACAAGACGACCGCAGTGACACTTTATGGGGAGCCGGATGAGGGTCTAGAAGACAATCTTTCCCATTGATTTGTCCATGGCTGGCTTGTGCTTTTTGCTTCCTTTAATGCCCCCCAGGGATGGTCTTTATGGGTTTTTAAATCAATGATACACAACATGGTTCATCATCCCTTTGTAAGCATTGCTGACATGGAGCCCCACAAGTATGGCAGCTGCATAGGGCCTGTTTCTTTAGCCTGGCCTGCATTAGTTGCATCACAGTTGCACGCCCTTGATGCTCACAGTGCAGGTGAAACTGGCAGTAATGGCAACATCTTTATATGGGGGTGGGGGGGGGGTCTTCCACATTCACTGCAGTTATGTTGCTTAGAATCATGACGAAATTATCTATATGGGACATTGAGTTCCCATTGAACTCATGTATTTGTGAGAGATACATTCCAGACCAACTAAGACAATTGAGTTTACACTAAAGTGTACAGGCATATGAATAGGAAATATTTATTTATTGTACACTAAACTGTAATACAGTATAATTTATTGTAATTACTAAATAAAAGCAAATTACACTACAAAATTAGTTAAAATTTTCATCCTATTAATATTGCTCCTCCCAAGCACTTTAAGTCCCTACTGCTTCTGTGACTAGGTGTTCAAGTTTCCTGAAGTTTTTCCTGAAGTATCCATCCATCCATCCATCCATCCATCCATCCATCCATCCATCCAATCATTTCCATTTTCTGTAACCACTTGCCCTATTCAGGTTCGCAGGGGGTGCAGCTGTTGTAGTTTCCTGAAGTTTTTGTTGAAGGTGTCTAACTTTATAAATCTTCCCTTAGTAAGACAAACCATTTTTTATAAGATGTTAACAGCCAATAGAAATTCATTCAAAAAATGCAAATACGACATGTGTGAATGTATTCAACGCATATATTGAGGTTACCGTCCTTAATAATCAACGACATGCATATAAAACAACTATATCACTAATATCAGTGTAGAGTATATGGAGAACACTCTGTACTGAGTGATGAGTGAAATCAATATTCTAAGGAGCAAGCTTAACATGTGTGTTTGGTGTGCAGTGTCCATATTACTGCTATATAATTTACTGTTAGATGTGGGGTAATATAAACCCAGTGGGTTTCTAGAACTGAGTTCCTTATAGAGTTCGAGTTCATTATAGAGTTTGAGTTCCTTATAGAGATGCCTACAAATTAAGAATACAAAATCACAATCAACCAACATTAATGAAAGGCATGTTCTTATTAAATCAACAAGAAGCAGAAACAACCACAAAACTAAACAACAACAAAGTGAACCTTTACTTATATTTTAATTCCTTACAAATCAACAGGAAGCAGAAACAACCACAAAACTAAACAACAACAAAGTGAATCTTTACTAATATTTTAATTCCTTACAAAACAATTACCTTAGTGTTCTACGTGTGCTATCTAAACTAGTACAGAAAAACAAATCAGAAAAAAATGTCTTGCTGCTTTCAACTGACTTCAACAGCAAGAATATTTCAGAAAAAAACACAGCATGGACAGTGGCATAAAGAATAACTGACTGAATCTTTAGCTTACATGAACAGTTTGTATATAGCATCAAGTATGTAGTTAGCTAAATTCATATGGTAGACATTACATACAAGGCTATGCACAATTTCTCCATGACTGATTTCTGTCACACCATATACTTGGAACTGAGCTATGTTTGTGTTGTACTTTGACCTTTGACCCTTGGATTAATATATTTTTAGCTTAAAAGAGTGAGATGATGAGGAAAACAGCAGATTGTCCTTCTCCCGATATTTGTTACCAAACTCTATACGGCCTGCGAATGCGTTATGCCATAAACGACCGCCACGCTTCCGCTCTGCTGACATGCAATTTGACACTGGCATATGCGTTGTGCATTTTGTGCCACCAGACGGTCTTAGCCAATCACATGCAGGAACCTGAAACATGGTAAGTGACACGGACGGTATGTCTACATATCCATTCGCAAAAAGCAGTAAATAGACTTGATAATTCAGTGTTGCATGATTTTCTTAACATAAGTCTTAATGGTGAAGCCTGGTGTGTCTAGGGGGACATGTTTTCCGTGCTAATCAGTCACCCCTGGGGGTAATACGATCTCAGCAGGAATTCATCTCTGCGGTACAGGGCACAGGTGCTCCGCTGTATTGGTTTCACACATTAAATCTAAGGCTACAGTGACTGCAAATTATCCATCCATCCATCTTCCAGCCATCTATCCAGGTCAAGGTCATGGGGGGTGTATCCTGAGCAACACAGGACACACAGCTGTGGTAAATCATGGACAGAATGACTGTAATACAGGCAGTCCCCGGGTTACGAACGAGATCCATTTGTCTGTCTTTATGTGGAATTTGTAGGTAAGTCGAAAAAACAACAATACAGTACATAATAATAATAATAAAAATAATAAAAGTGACTACATACAGTACAGTACTGTAAGTTGAGCTGACGAATCACTGAAGCCACGCAATGTTTTCACAAGCATCACAAAGTCGTGCATTTGTTCGTTATTACGAATCACTGTATTCATTTTTAATATAATAGGCTTTATGACAGTCCGTTCATAAGTATGAGTTCTGGAAAAAATTGGGAGACCACTCTATCTGCATTAGTTTAATCCTGAAGGCTACACTGCGAGGCAGGCTGCTTCCTAAGCTCAACGTTTCTAAGAGAGCAGGACACAAAAACAAGGACAAGCAGGAGACACTAGGAACAACAAAAAAACAGCCAGGTCGAGGGTGAAAGCAACTTTCTTATGCCACAGATGACCATCAACTTATCAGGCAGGGCCACATAAATCAAAGGATGACCTCAAGTGACCTTCAAAGAGAAGGGGAAACATTATGTGGTGTGAAGTGCACGACTAGGACAGTTTATAACAGGCTCCTAGAAGCAGGACTGAAGACCTATAAAGCAAAGAAGAAGCCCTTCATTAATGAGAAACAGGGAAGAGCCAGGCTGCAGCTTCCAAAATAATGTATATTTTACACAGACACACACCCATAAACTGAGAAATGAGTGAAACTGAAAAATTTGCTGTGGTCTCTTAATTTTTTCCAGAACTGCATCTGTACATTGGTTCATAGATGAAGGCAACTGAGTAAAGAAATACTCTGGATATTGTAGGAAGTTGAAATTGGTTTGGTCGAGTTACGTTCAGGTCCGCAAACATTAGAATGTAAAAGGAGTCATTAAAGTAACAGAAAAGTTGCACAGAGTGGGATTCTCACAGAAGGTGCAATGGCAGGATTCCTGTAGAGCATCCGGCTCCTTCTAGATGGCAAATGGTCTAACAAGACGGATCCAAAATCCTAGCGAAGACACAATGCTCAACAACCTGTTCTCAAGCTATAAATAATCATTTAAAAACTGCAGGAAAATGGACAACTGCATAAAGTCATGAAATTCAAGCAGCCACTATACAAACTAATTGCCAAAAATGCAACCTTAAAAGGTTCCCGTTGATTTATTCATTCGTTCGTATAGGCTGACTGTCAGCAATGCTGTCATTGCTGGAAGTCACATGCGGAGGATTGGATGCAGGGTTCGTTTTCGTAGCACTGATGGTGGTGGGGGTGGTGGGGGTGGGGGGGTTATTTACTGCCGCAGAATTGAGGTACTGAGAGGTGTTGTTTGCCATAGGGAAGATGGAACCAGACGTACTGGTGTCCGGTGCAGACGTGCTGTCAACATGGGCCATTATTAATGTGAGAGGGTACAGGCTGAGCAGTTAGGCTATCCAAGACTCTTTGCCCTCCCCATCAAATTAATTAAATTAGGAGCTGTTACCGCACTATCGACTGCTAAAAAGCTACGCCAAAAACTACATGCCTTGGCTTAACTAGCACCTCCAGAGACCTTTCGCAGTTATGAATCTCCAGCTAAAGTAAACACCTGCTTCCCTTCAGTCTGGGGTAGATCCCATCTGCTGTATCGACACCCTTCCCAGGAAGGAGATGCCTGAACGCCCCCTCCTGAGGTTCGGGTAATAAGTTTGTGTTGGAAGTCAGCGTGATGAGCTGAGGACAAGATCAAAACGACAATGATTGGGAGGGAATCCGTGTGGAAAATAAAGTGTGAGAACATCCAGAAGTCATCCAGGAACATTGCAGAAACATCTGAGCATCTGGCAAGTCCTAACGACACCTGGAGGCCAGGAGCTGGGTAGCATCTGCTGGACGTGGGGGCTCTGGGACTGCAGCTCCGATGTGTGAATTTTCTTAAACTCTTAGAATAATACCCACCAGAAATCCATTTCAGAAAGCCTTCATGTTCATGCTACAGTGTATATACAATTGGTGGTGTCCTGTTAAGGATGTACTGTTACCGATATTCTTAGTCATTATACCAGTATAGTACATATAATAGTGATATTGCTTAATTAGCTAAAAGTAATAACAATATAGGGCATGAAATTGTGATGAGATGCATATCCACCGGGGAGTTTGCAGTCAGCTGAAGTGCTGGGATGTCATATATTATACATCTCTAGTGCATTGTAACACAAGATTCAAACTGAAATTGTGGATTTTTTTTTTGCAGGACAGAGGCACGATGCTGACAGGGCTGGCACTCTGCAAAAGCAGGGCTCCATAATCAAAGCACCTGGGCAGAAATCACAGCTGAGTGTCAGAGCGAGGGCACAGTGGTGCAACACTGTCTGTTTGCTTGTCATGATGGATATACAGAGACACAAAAAAGCAACCGGCACAGAGAAGGCTGTAGGAAAACAAGAATTACAGATTTTTCCCTGTTATGCCCAGTAGACATACCTCTGTCTTAAACACTGGATTTTACCCTGTCTTACCTACCGTTCATCCATCTCTGTCTTAAACACTGTCGATCCTTCCTTGAGCTTAACATTGTTTTTTCCTCCTGTCTTATACACTACGGATCCTTCCCTGTCTTAAACATTAAATGTCCTTCCCTGTCTTAAACATTAAATGTCCTTCCCTGTCTTAAACATTAAATTTCCTTCCCTGTCTTAAACATTAATTTTCCTTGCCTGTTTTAAACAAATAAGTTGTTTGGCCATTCCTATTCTAACTAGGGGTTTATTTGAAGAAATGCCGGTGATTTCTGCTGCCAAGCTGGCTGTGCTTACCTCTGTGTGCTGCCTATTCACGTGTTTTCACTAATTTTAGAAGCCATCTGGGGCAACCTGATGGTTGTTGAATGATGATGGCTAATTTATTCCGTTGGCACCTTTCAATTTGCTTAAGATAGAAGCTCCTGATGATCTGCATGTAGACTGGTTAGCTAAAAAACAGGAGAGACAGTCAAATGTCACATGATCTCTCTGCTTTCCTCGGAAATGCAGTTGAGCAATAGATGGAGCTGCGCGCGGCCAGGATATCAAAGTGCTTCTTCCGTACAGTTGTGAAGGAGGAGCCAGACAGCTAAACGATCACGCTATGAATCAGCCATTGCAAATGGACTGTTTAACTAGCTATGCACTGCGAATCCGGCATACTTAGCTACATATTGTCCCTCCTGTCTGCCTCCTTGCGAGACACTTCCTGTGAGCTCGAGAGTGAATGTCAGCCGCGATCAGGTGCCGCCGGCCCTTAACGGCGAGCTCCCCACAAGACCGCAAACGCTCCTCCGCCCGAGAATCTCTAACGACGCGCCCTTCTGTCGGCCGGTCTGCTTCCTCCAGACTCCATGGGCTGTTTGGGACATCATCAGGTCTGATGTCTTGCTCTTCAGAGACACATTTTACCCAGAAAACAAAAAATGTCTGATTATTAGCTGCAGCATTATTATCTTGCTGGCAGGATTGCCTTACGGACATTATTTAAACAAAAGAAGGGAAAACAAAATAGACTTAAATTCACTTAGCATTCCTATGCGTGGCTTAGTGCAGTCATTCTAAATCTCAGCATGTTGTGATTACTTTTACAGCCCCTGACTGAAAGTGTTTACCCAGATATTTCTCTTCATACAAGATGTTTATAATTAGATTTTTAAATGAGGAATTAACCTCAGGTGCTTGCTGTAAAATCTAACTCTTCAGTGTAATAGTAGGGATCAGAATAGAAATTTTTCTTCCAGTTATTGTATGGACAAGTTATTATAATACGCAAGAACATCGCACATAAAACCACAGCTGCAGTTAAAAAATCATCTGAAGTAAGATTGTTTTTAATATTTAGTAGTGCCTTTTCATTTACTGCGGCGGTTTTTAGTCAATTGATGGTTCAAACTTGTAATAAATAACAAGCTATTTAATAGGTTCATTTGAGTCAGTTTGAATTACAAGGGTAGACTTTATGTCAGTCAATCACAGTAACTCATAAGCAAAGTATTCTTTGTGCAGACCTTCATCGCCATGACAATAATCAGGCCCTCGGTTTGGACAATGTCACTTTCAATCCACTGAACACTGAGACTAAGTGGAAACTTTCCTGGAAGGAATTCTTAGCTCACATCAGCTAAAGAGCGGAAAAAAGACCAATAAATAAAAGGAGAAAAGTAGCCTTGCCTTCTTACAATAGATCATGCGCGAAGAAAAAAAAATCAGGCACAAAACACTGCATAAATGGCCTGAAATGACTTACAGTTCAAATATTCACTTTGTGAAGGGCGAAGGACAAACTTCTGAGTAGTTCTCAAATGGCACAGCATTGAAGTATATATATATATATATATATATATATATATATGTATATATATATATATATAAATATATAAATATTCACCTTTGTGAAAGAACTGCAATAGACGGTGACATAACACTTGAACGATGAGGATGTGCAGCAGACATCATATAGGTTAGGAGCACAGACCTGCTATTTTCAGTGTCCCTAGAGGGGAATCTGTGAGAGAAAACTTAGGATGGGTACTTAACCTGAAACGCTCCCCAAAAGACGTAGCTGTGTAGAGGGGAATCTGTGAGAGAAAGCTTAGGATGGGTACTTAACCTGNTACTTAACCTGAAACGCTCCCCAAAAGACGTAGCTGTGTAGAGGGGAATCTGTGAGAGAAAGCTTAGGATGGGTACTTAACCTGAAACGCTCCCCTAAAAGACGTAGCTGTGTAGAGGGGAATCTGTGAGAGATAGCTTAAGATGGATACTTAACCTGAAACGCTCCCCAAAAGACGTAGCTGTGTAGAAGGGAATCTGTGAGAGAAAGCTTAAGATGGGTACTTAACCTTAAACGCTCCCCTAAAAGACATAGCTGTGTAGAGGGGTGAGATCTGAAATCGCTCTTGGCTTGGTAATGCAAAATTATCGATGACTGAGACACAAAGCTATTGCTTGTCAAATCCATGACGTTTCAAATGATTTTTCCCTGGCAAAACTTTGCGGGTTAAAAATAGTACGAGAGTATTTTTTGAGAGATGAGAACCTGTTACCACAGAATAATCTGTCATGTGGCTGCTGCAGGTTGAGACAATCCAGCACCAAACCTCCAAAAACCCGGAGATAACCCCCCCCACCCCCCTTCACTGCGGCTCCCAAGTTACAGCGAGAAGCTGAGCAGCGGTCTGCAATGTTGCTCCAAAATGATTATTAGCACTAATCATTTTCATTTACTATATATGTCAGCTGACACCATCCAGCCTACATCACCAAGCTCAGCTTTAATTTAATTCTAATCTAATTTTCAAAGCCGAGGCACCGTTGGGTGGCGTTGAGTCAGCACCGTCAAATGAAATCAAGTCCGCAGACTTTCCGTTTTAGCCTCGGATAAAGACGAGCCACTCCCCCAGGAAGAGAAGGTAGAGCGTCGTCAGTGAAAACCAAATTGCTCAGGGGAGGACTGTCCATCTTTGTGGACATTGAACGTGCTCTGTAATGAGTTTGTGGAAAAAACAAAATGCTTCTGTTGCCTAAGTATGAACCAGGTAATGGGAAAACTCACATTAACACTAGCTAGTGTTAACAATGTCACTCACCAGGATGAACCACCAAAATCCAGAATACAGGAAGAAAAGGGAATAAAAATGAATGGGCAATTAACAACTAATAGGAACAATTAATCCGGGGGAATGGGTCAAAATAAAAAATATGCATATTATGAACATTTTTTTCACGGAGCAGAAATTACGTTTTTTTTTTAAGCATCATTTAGTTAGCGCTTGATTTATTAAATGAGAAGGAATAGATTATTAGATTATGAAAGCTGTAAAATTATGTTATTAAAACAATGAAGGGATGTAGCTGAATTAAGTCCTGAGCTCCTGGCACATTTGCTTGTAGATTATATCTGGTCTACAGCCTCACACAGACTACTTGAGGCTGTGAAGACTGCCCTGGCCTACTTGGCTATCAGCAAGAAAGGGTCCATTTCAAATATATCATCCTATATGTGTATGTGAATTAATATGTATAATGACTATATGTGAAATGCATGTATAACGTGCCATAGTCATGGTTTGAATGCTGCCACTGGAGACAGCATAAGGCACAAGGCTGGGGTACACCATGAATGGGATGCCAGTCTATCATAGGGCATGAGGCTGGGGTACACCCTGAATGGGATGCCAGTCTATCATAGGGCACGAGA